TAAGTCGTGGGACACCCATTTTCCCTTGGTCGAGTTTTCCTACAACAACAGCTACCATACCAGCATCAAGCCTGCGCCTTTCGAAGCCCTCTATGGTCGCAAGTGCAGATCCCCTCTGTGCTGGGCTGAGGTGGGCGACACGCAACTAGCCAAGGGGCAAGTCCAAGACAGCACTCTCACTGGTCCAGAAATCATCCGCGAAACCACCGAAAAGATCATACAAATCCGAGAACGAATTAAGGTCTCACGAGATAGACAAAAGAGCTACGCCGATAGACGACGAAAACCCTTGGAGTTCCAGGTTGGAGACCATGTTCTGCTCAAAGTCTCACCCTGGAAAGGCATGATACACTTTGGAAAGCGTGGAAAACTAAATCCAAGATACATAGGACCATTCGAGATCCTTGCTAGGATCGGTCCCATAGCCTACAAACTTCGTTTACCGCAAGAACTTAGCAACATTCATCCTGTATTACACGTTTCAAATCTTAAGAAATGCATATCCGACGAAACCCTTACGATTCCTCTCGACGAGATTGGGATCAACAAGAACCTGAACTTTGTGGAAGAACCAGTCGAAATCATGGATAGAGAGATCAAACGAACAAAACAAAGTCGCATCCCGATAGTGAAGGTTCGCTGGAATGCCAAGCGGGGACCTGAATTCACTTGGGAGAGCGAAGATCAGATGAAACAGAAGCATCCACATCTCTTTTCTATTCCATGATTTGTATTCTATGTTCGAATTTCGGGACGAAATTCCCTCTAACGGGGGGATAATGTGACAACCCGAAACTTTTATTCTGTACACTTGGTCAACTTTATCAACATTTAACTTGATTTCCGTTACCTTTAACGCCGTTTAAGAGTTAGTTTAAGTGTTCTAAGCTTGAGTACAACCGGGAATCAGATTAGAAATGAGTCAACAAGTCGTATAGAAACAAAACCGGGCCATACACCCTCTCGGGAGGAGTGTACGGCTGTACACGTGGGTGTGCGGCCGCACACCCACCTTCCAGCCGCACACTCACCCTTATATATATAAGGTGACCCTCTTCATTAATTCCTTTCATTTGGCTGTACTCTACTTCCTCACTCTACTTTCTCTCTCTAAAAACTTCATCCAAGAACACTCTAAAGGCCTCAAGAACGTGAATCACCCCATTATTCAGCTTGTTATAGTGGTAAGACACCTTGATCTAAGCTTAAAACTCATCATGTTCTTCGTGTTCTTCATCACTTGAAGGTGTATGGCCGCACACCTTGATAAGGTGGCCGTACACACCTTAAAGACTCTCCAAGGTGAGAGTTTGGCCTTGAAAGACCCGAAAAATCGACATTTTGAGCATAAATGAAGAGTGTATGGCCGCACACCCCTATGTACGGCCGCACACTCCCCTGTACGACCGTACACGTCCTCTGTACGGCCGCACACTCCTGTGTGCAACCACACACACATGCTGACCGCACACCCTGGCCGCACACACACTCTTTTGGCCGTACACCTCCCTTGTTTGATCATATAGGGTCTTGTCAAGCATTTCCAAGTCCTTAGGGTGGTTTCCCGTCATGTTTAGTCATGAAACACCCTAGTTCTAACACACATATGTTGCGTGAAGAGTTTTTTTACTCTGAAGACTTCTAAAAAACAAACAGTTGCGAGATGAAAAATGTTGCGTGTATGTTGCGTCGCGCAACAATAAGAGGTCTGAAGAGGTTTTTTCCAAAAAACAAACAATACCTAAGAGTTTAATCGAAAAATTCAATCTTATTTCCTTATTTTCGTTGGTAAGTTGTATGGAAATAATGCAAATATTTTAACTTCCCACCAAAAATAAGATTTACTCCCGCTTTCCCCAAAAAATTTCTAGGTTTAAGTTTTTCCCACATACTCCTGCCTCCTTCACGCTTCCTTAATATTCGTCCCTTCAATCGGCTGTTCATTCTTCGCCTTCCCATACAAACACATGGCAACAATTGTTCTTCCATCACCACCTCCGACGATCTATATGTTCAGTCAAACGCGAAGCCCAACCCTTCACTGGTTTTAGATTGAAATCGGTAAAACCCTAGCCCTGACCTACAACCATTGATACCACCTCCATCACACCCTTCTGCCATTGTAACCGTCCTTCATCTATTGCCTCCGCTACTGCCGCCGTCCTTCAGTTCTCGGTAAGCTCTGTGAACTCCTCCCAACCACTCCCTGTTTCCTTTGCATCGATTTCGTTTTTGGTAGAGTTTTGGTATGATTTTGGATGAGAATGTGAGGAAAGTTACAAAAGCTTGTTGTATTCTAACATAAGCTGTATTTTGTTTATATTAACATTGTTTTTTTATTTTTGTTGCAGCAAGCTATGCATCTACTGATGATGAAGCTTTCAAATAAATGGCAAAGTTGTATAATGGCTCCTACTTTAACACGTCTCAAATGTGAAGCATGAATTACAAATGGGCTCAATGGTATGTTGTTTAAAAAAGAACCATGTTCAAAATGTGTCATTTGACTGCCTTTTACTTGGACTTTTTGGTGTAAAATTTGCCAAACCACTACGGTTTTACAAGTTATGGTTTGTATTTCACAAATTCACTTCTGTATCATGTATATATATGGTTGATACTAATAGATGTAGTTCATTTGTATTGAATATAAGGAAAGACAGTTTTTGATTTTCATGGCGTGAAAATATTGATATATTTTCACTGATTTTTACTTATAGCTCAACCTAGACATCTATTTTGAACTTTTGTATTAAATTGTAGGGTCTTTCTTAGACTTGCATTTCCTTGACAATGTGTAGCTTCGCATGATATGGAGAAATGGATATGAGAAATGAAATGGAAAGAAGGCAAGCTGAAGTTGAGTTGAAAATGCAACAAAAACAAGCTTAATTCGAACAACAGATGGAGGCCTATATGAAATCCATCGTTCAACGACAGTGGCGGATCCAGAACTAAATATAAGTCGGGTCCATTTTCATAAAAAAATATATAAAAACATAAAATTCAAAACATTTTTGGGTTTTTAAGTTAAATAAAATGTCAACTGGGGCAATTTAATGTACAAATAGTTATTAAGAAGGGTGTTTTTAGTAAAAATATGATTTTTGATGGGCTTATTAGTAATAAAAATGATGGGACCCACTTGTAAGTGGGGTCCATGCACCCCACTTAAGGCCATCCGTAATGCTCTTCACGACCAAGGGTCGTGGAGAGCTTCCAAGTCAGCCACCATGAGAAACCACGAACCACCCAAATAATCTGACTACTCTCCACGACCACGGAGAGAAAGAAATAAGAGTAGAGAAGAAGAAGTCTGAGAGAGGAGAAGAGAATGATTGAGCGTTCTCCTTCGTCCTGCCCACCACAACCGACAACGAAGACGAATGATAACGGTGTCTAGGGGTGGTGTGCACGAACCACTCTCGTTGCCACGTTAACCACGAAGCTTCTCGTGGTCGGTATACTAGAAGGCCTAATGGGGCTGCATCCGCCACTGATCAACGACCAAATAATTCTTAGTTTTGTGTTTTAAGCACTTAGTAATATTCGACACTTGAATGTATTAGATGATGTTTATTGTAATGTTTTAAACACTTATTAATGTATTTCACATTTTGTGGTTTAATGTAATTTTTTGCAAAAAAAACTGTATTTTTTTTTATTTTAATTTTTTTAATTTTTTGATAAATTTAGTGACGGAATAATCTGTCACAAAAAGTAAAGAGCATTTGTCGGTAATCCATCACTGAAAGCGTCGGTCGGTAATCCGTCACAAAAAGTGTCTGTCGGTAGTTTGTTGGAAATTACCTTCCGTTGGTAATCCGTTGGGAAATACGGTCAAACCAACTTGGTCAAAAAACATTCGTCGGTAGGAGTGTAAGTGAGCCGAGCTATTCGTGAGCTACTCGGGATCGACTCGTTAAAAACTCGACTCGAGATCGAATTAAACGAGCCTGAGCCGAGCTCGAACCTAAATATGAGAATCGTTTATTAAACGAGCTCGAGCCGAGCTTCAATTAGTGGGCTCGCGAGCCTAAACGAGCCTATATATATATATATATATATATATATATATATATATATATATACATACATACATACATACATACATACATACATACATACCTATATATATATATATATATATATACACACACACACATAGAGGCTCGTTTAGGCTCGATTAGGCTCGCGACCCACTAAATTGTTCACGAGCCGAGCTCGAGCTTCATTTTAAGGCTCGAATCGAGCTCGAGCTCGAGCTCGAGCTTCCTCAAAATTAAACGAGCCGAGCTCGAGCTTGCTCAGGCTCGGGCTCGGGCTCGGGCTCGGGCTCGGCTCGGTTTGTTTACACCCCTATTCGTCGGTAATATGTCGGTATATCTCTGATGAAAATTTTGTTGGTAATCCGTTACTAAAACCGTAAGAAATCCGTCACAAATAATTACCCAAGGGGCTTTTTACAACTGGCCTAACTCCATCGGTAATCCGTCGGAAATTTGCTTTAGCGACGGATTTCCGATGGATATAGCTGTCGAAAATTGACCAGTTTCTAGTAGTGTATAAACATTGAGCATATACAGTTCCCATCCATAGGGACACTACCTATAAATAGTCGTCCATATCTTTCTTGATGTTGGTTAACCTATTGAGAATAGTCTGACTTGTTTTCTTTCTTAAAAATTTAAAAAGTAAAAAATAAAATAAGTATGTGACCATCTATTTACGATTTAAAATCATAAATCTTGAAACATTATTCAATTTATAAATTCAAAATTAAAATACGAGCCAATCTTTTTTTGTTAATATAAACAATGCACCGAAAGCATTTGTGGAGCTTTTGATATATATATTTTGCTGATTCGTTTAATCCAGATTTGTGCTCATCTTCAACACGTATTTGGTGAAGCTTGTTCGTTCTATAAATAATCCCCATTACCCGGCTTCTACTTTCACGCAACTGGTAGCGAGTGTTCTCAGCTTACTCATAAGTCAATATGTCTAAACAACCAACTTTTTTGTTTGTATTCCTTCCTCTTATTTTCGCTCTTGGTATCTCAGGTGCTTAATCTAACTAATTTACGACCATTTTACTTTCATTTATGCTTCAACCAAAATTTTTTGGTAATAGAAATTAAATATCTTTTTACAATTTCTTTCTACCATCCTCCTACTCATGTGTATGGCATTTAATTTCTCTTAATAATATTTTAATGCACTTGTCGCAGTTTAGCATGGATAGGAGGATAAATAGATAAAATTGTAGGAGTATATTTAATTTTGATTTTTTTTTTTCTACTTGGTTTTCTTCAGTAGGGAGATTTTGAAGTTATATAAATAAGGGAAGTTACATACATGTGATGACATTAATGGTAGAGAATCAAAATAGCGTACCTTTCAATTTTCGGGAAATTCTATCCCCTCAAACTTCTGATAAATTACTCTAACGAGAGACTTGCAGTAACAAAATTCAATAATTAGGTTTTCTTGTAGGGTTTTTGTTTTACCGATTAAATAGTAAGCGATTAATTCGTTTATATGATCACTAAGATTAAATACTGCATGTAATTTGTTATCCTTGCAAACATGCAGAATACGAAACATTTATGTATAAGTGATTATCGTTATTTATAAAAATGAGAATATTTGTTAAGTAACTAACAACACATCGTTTAAATATATCAGTTAGTACTACCTTTTACTTCACTATTTATTATCTTAATACTCGGATTAATTAACTCAATTTTGCATGCATTCAAAAGAAATCGCGACTGCCGTAAAATTTTGTGAACATATGAGCCAAACGTGGACTGGAAAGTGTGATAACAACAAATGTGATAAAAAATGCATTGAATGGGAGAAAGCAATCCACGGAGCTTGTCACTCGCGTGAAGGGAAATCTGGTTGCTTCTGCTACTTTGACTGTGCGAAGAAACCTCCAAAAAATTCCGTACCAGCTCCTCCCGGATCCATAGCTCCTGGAGACGGTTCAAAACCACCTCCTGCTGCCGGTGGCGGTGGCGGATCATCACCTCCTGGTGCCGGTGGCGGTGGATCATCACCTCCTGGTGCCGGTACCGGTGGATCATCACCTCCTGCTGCCGGTGGCGGTGGTGGCGGAGCATCACCTCCTGCTGCCGGTGGCGGTGGTGGCGGATCATCACCTCCTGCTGGTGGCGGATCATCACCTCCTGCTGCCGGTGGCGGTGGCGGTGGCGGATCATCACCTCCAGCTGCTGGTGGCGGGTCTCCGCCTCCTGCTGGTGGCGATAAGCCATGTCACCATATCGAAGATTATTTCACTTGCATGCAGGCCTGCGGGGTCAAAAATCTAAACCGAAAAAGAGCTACATCCTTTAATTAGCAAGATTTCTATGAGTACAAATAAGTAGAAAATGCTTCCTAACTCCTAAGCATTTTCTGAAGTGTAATGCTTGTTGTAGAAGTGCAATTTAAGTTATCAGGGCATTCATTGTGTTAATAAATTTTAACATCATTGCTTTTTATGTAATTTTATAATATTTTTTTTTGTATAATTTGTTAAACTGTACAAAGCTTCAATGTAACACTTATAATATATATATATATATATATATATATATATATATATATATATATATATATATATATATATATATATATAGGCTTAGGTTATTCTATTAAAAGTAATTATTGTGTTATTGTATGCATAAATGTGGGCCAATCATTTTACTTATTTTAAGAAAGTGATTAATACATATTATTGAATTAAAAATAATTGAAAACTACCATCCAATTTAAGTAGAAGGGTATTTTAGTCAATTAATACATATTTAATAAAAGAAATTTGCATATTTTAAGGGATCATAGATTCTATTAATTTTAAAAATCCGATTTTTACGAATTATAAGGTTTTTAATTCGGACATTCTGACAGAATTTGTTTGAATATGTTCAAAAACAATAATATTCTAGAATAACAAATTTTCTTGATCATGACTTTAAAAATTTCTTGTAGAATAACAACTTCTCGAACCAGCAATTGAAGAATTAAAACAAAAATTACATTATTTATTATAGAATGCATGTAACAATTGTTAAGAATTACATTTATTGTTAAAAAATAAAACTAAAAAACTTTCAAATCGGGAAAAAAAAACATCAAAATCTAACAAATACACTAATTCATTCTAAAAGAATAATGTTGCTAAGAAACACTTTTAATTTTGTTGACCGTTCTTCAAGCATCAACTTCTTCAAGCATCAACTTCTGTGAAAACAAATCCAATTGTAGTTTAGAATCCAATAACGCATTAGCAAATGATAAATAAAAAACTATATTCCTTTGAATAAGCGGACTTGTTGACTGCACCAAAACCAATAACCAAAAATTGTAGAACATGTATAATCAATGAGAAAAAAATCCATATTCCATTCCAACAGAATTAGAATTCGTGTTTCCATTCCGATAGAATTTGAATTCGTGATTCTATTCCGATAGAATTAGCTTACCACATAAATCGTTGATCTTTTTGGCCATTTCCTTTACATCTTTCCAAAGTCAAAAGAAAGTCAAACATACTGAAATATCTAATGCAATAGATGTATACACACTAATTGGTATTTAAGAAATGGTACATAAACTAACAGCTTCATAGTGTATAGCAGCATCTTCTGAATGAAGCATTAGAACAAGGGTGGGCAGAGCATTACATTCCACTATCTGCAAATATTTCATTGATATATTAGACAAAATTTAGTTCTTGATCCCAAAAAAAAGCTTCACTAAATTATAAAAGCATCAACCTGGTTTTTGTTTTCATCATTTTTGAAAGCTAGTGTACGCAAGGCCCCCGCTGCAACTCTTTGCACTTTAGCATCACTGGATTCTAACAATTCAACAAGTGGAGGAATGCCACCTTCAACCCTAAACATGAAAAAATGTGATGAACTAAAGGTACTAAAATACATGAATAACATCTGAAAAAGATGGAGGGAAACAGACCTAACAAGGGTCTTGATGCTGCAATTTTCATGAGCAAGGTTGGTGATTGCATCAGCTGCTTTCCTTATGGCACCATTCAGCGCTCGAGAACTTTGGCCATCCAGGTGTCTCTTAAGAAGACCAACCAGACGAGGTAAGGCTCCAGCATCCACTATGCATTGTTGATGCTCAGGCTGTTAAAACATTGGGAAGGTTTTTGAAAGTGTTCAGAAATTGTTTGTGAACGGATTCAAGAGGAAACAATCTATCGCCATTAATAACAGTAATTTTATCAAATATAATCTTTTTGATTCTCCTTTATTTTAATTGACAAGGTTATGCAATTCAAATGAGTACCTACCTTAATTGCAATAAGTCCGAGAGTAAAAGCACTTCCTTTTTCCACCTCATGTTCATACGGTATTGTGCCAGTAACAACCTCTTTTGGTGACTGTGGCGCTTGAAGATGCCGTACTAGGGCTGGAACAGCACCAGCTTCGACGATCAAGTTCACAAACGAAATCAAATCAAATTACGTTGCGTAAAGTTGAAAAACAAAACTCAATAAGAAAAATCCAAACCGTTCTTTGCGAACTCGGAGAGGGCGTGAAGTGAGCATTTGACTAGGGCACGATCTGCTTCACTCGATGAGAAAGTAGAATCGAGTACTTCAACCTGAGCATGAATTTCATATAATAGATCTTGTTGAGAAACGGCGTCTGTAAAAGAAAACTTATGATCTACGATTAATTCGTCCTCCAGCTTCCTCTTCAAGCTCCTTCTACCGGAGTTAGTAGGTTGTTCATGGCGTCTCCGATCCTCCGCCATGAGAGATTGAATGTAGGGGTAAATTGGGGAAAGAGAAGTTACGTTTTACAAAAGGAGTGTGTGAAAGTGAAAATGAAATGGGTGTGGGTGGATTGTGTGTGTGTTTTGCGTGCGACTGGAATCGAGAGAGGGAGAGGGTAGGGTGGCGGCCGGTGGTGGGAGGCATAAGGATGGAGGTGACGGCTGGAGATGGTTTGATTAGGGTTACAGTGGTTTTAAAAAGCCTAGTAGCTGAAGTCAATGGTTACCATAATTATAGGATATTATTTGTGGAAAGTAATTATCAAATTACCTATTTACCCTTATTTATTTATTTAATTATTTATTTTTATTTTAAATTTTTATTGACCCACATTTATGCATACAATAACACAATACTTACTTAAAACACCTGAACCTATATATATATATATATATATATATTTATATATATATATATATATATATATATATATATATATATATATATATATATATCCATCAAAAAGTCTTTTTTTTCCTAATTATTAGTTCAATTGTCATTGAACGCTAACATGTCATATCTTTGTAATTGAATTTAATCCCACCCAACCATATATTCCACCTCATTTATCTTTTTTGTTAAACTTTTTATTGTGGATACTCTTATATAGAATGGTTAACTTTTACATACCGGTTGAACGTTTACTTACACTACAAGAAAAATGGTCATATGTCACTAAAATGTTTGATTAACCAATCTTTCATACCATGTGAGACTTAGAATTAGATACCATGCATGTAGGTTTGATGAATAGCCCATATGTCACTAAAATGTTAGAGATTGATTAACCAATATTAGATACCATGTGAGACTTAGAATTAGATACCATGCACGTGGGTATGATGAATAGCCACACGAACTCATTTTAATGTGTGGATTGTTAGTGACCGGCCATGCTTATTTGAGACTGAAAATGCAGTCTCTCATACGTTACGTCATTTTATATTTGGAGCAAAGCATATTACGGACTAGTCTCCAATAAACTAGTACCAATTTTTAATAGGGGGGGGGGGTGGGGGAACTTATTAGCAACTGAATTTCAGTCCCTGATAAAATTGTGCCAGTTTGATTTTGTACATTATTTATTAGAGACTGAATGTGACTCTCTTATAGAAGTACATTATTTATTAAGTACTATACTTTGGATGGAAACTTATTAAAAACTGAATTTAACTATTCGGGATTGATTACTTAGTCACGAATATCATATATCGGAGACTAATGAATCAGTTGCAAATACTATTGGGAATGAAACAAATTATGGAGTAAATTTCAGTATGGGATAAACTAGCACCAAATTTGACTTTGGAGGGAAACTTATTACAGACTAAATTTCAGTCTTTAATAAAATTATGTCATCTTTGCTTTTAGAGGGAAAATTATTAAAGACTGTGTAAGGGTCGAAGTATGTAGTGAGGTGTCGAAGGACTTTTAGGTATGGGTAGTGTCGATGTCGAAGTCATGTATTTTGAATGTATGTATTATGTAAGGCATTTTAGAGGATGAAGCTCGAACGTTTAGTCCTTATGTGTTTTTTGTACGTGTCTATTACCCTCTACAAATAGGGGTTGGTATAGGAGTCGATGTATTTTGTAAGGGTGAGAACTTTACTCTTTCTGTACTCCTATATTCATTCTGATGGAATTAAAGAGTCAAATAGATTATATTCACATCTTTGTTCTTATCGCATTTAGTTCTTGATTTCGTTCTTAATACTCGATTAAAACTCACTACATTTGGTATCAAAGTAGGATACAATCAATCATTTTTTGGTTTACTCGTCTTTTTCAAAAATTTTGAATTGTTCTTTTCCGATTCAAAAGATTTACTGTAACGACCCAAATTTTACAAATAAATTTTTAATTTTTAATTAGTCAACCATTTTTCATAAAACATAAAGATTCCAAAAATTGTTTTCAAAACCACAAACATTACAACATTATTATTTTCAAAACATCATAGTGTCCCCCAAACCAGATCGGAAAAGAGAGATAGAGTGCACGCCGCATCATTACTCCTTGCCTTTGCCCTTGGGCTCCGATGGACCTGAAACAAATCCACAAACGGTAAGCTGAAAGCTTAGTGAGTCCCTAGAGCATACCCCACACAAACCACATATCACATTAGCTATAAAGCTACCTCTACCACTTATCACATGTCAATTAGCCATGAAGCTATCTCTACCGTTAGCCACAAAGGCTATCTCTACCACCAGCCATAAAGGTTGTCTCTACCATTAGCCATAAGGCCATCTCTACCATTAGCCATAAGGCTATCTCTACCGTTAGCCACGAAGGCTATCTCTACCACATATCATGCACACATACATATCACACGTCTACATAACAAGTAAACCAACTATCACACAATGGGCCGACCTTGGTGCCTTAGAACCATTGGTATGGTGAGAAAACTCACCTCACAAAGCTGAATCGACAACTAAATTCAGGTATACCCTATGCTGGTCTTCCCAACTGCCTATAATCAATGAGTAAATAACTCAGCCTAACCCCATAAATACCCCGAGGGTAAAAGTTAAAGTCTATAGTCAAGGTCAACAGTCCATATTGACCTTGACTCGTCGAGTACAATCATTCACTCGTCAGGTTCCCTGCTTAACTCATCGACTCGCTGAGTCACCCGAGGGACTCGTCGAGTTCCTTGGTGTTTACGTCCGTAAACTACAACCGTACACCCTTGGCCGTAAACCCTTGGCCGTAAACCCTTGGTCGTAAACCCTTGGCCGTTAACGAGGAAACCCTCTCGACTCGCCGAGTCTCTTGCACGACTCGCCGAGTCCCTATTAGTCCATTACGTTTACGGCCTCTTCCAGTGGGACTCAAGGCCCCAAACTTCATATATATACTCTACTAGTGTGGATAACACATAAAGTTGCAAACTTTACGTGCATGCAAAGCCTCACATAGTCATAATCACCAAAACTAACCTTCCAACAAGGTTTTCATGCATGGAGAGAAAAGGGGCTTAATAAGGGGTGCAACTTTATGATGTTTGGGACCTAACGAGGTCCAGATATGGAACCATATCCTTGTGATAGGTCCAGATCCAAGGTTGCTTCTATTTCCTTAAAGTTGGTCACAATTCTCAAATAGAATCTAGGCTCAAGGCAACAGATTCATACCTCAATTTAATGCCTAAGACGAAATAGATACTTGATCTAACACTTCTCCCTTGATACTTCCTCTTCAAACTTGGATTCCTCCCCAAAATCTCAAGGATAAGCTCTCAATTGATCTTAATTCACTCACAAGAGGGTGTGCGGCCGTAAACGTTCTTCTATGGTGCTAAAGGAGGCTACTAGGGCGGATAATGATGTTTATATAGGGGGCAAACCTAAAATTTAGGGTTTTCTTTAAACAGCTCGGACTCACGGAGTTGACCTTCGACTCGTCGAGTCGGTCCTGTTCCGCGTTTCATGATCTCACGACCCTACTCGAAGAGTTGACCTCCCAACTCGCCGAGTCCATGCTTAAATCCTTTCCAATTCAAAACAGGTGTTACAAATCTCCCCCACTTGAACTAGACTTCGTCCTTGAAGTCTGCTGACTCAAACAAATTGAGGTAATGATCTCGCATCTCCTCTTCCGATTCCCAAATCCATTCGGAGCCCTTCCGATGTTGCCATTGCACTTTCACCAGTCTTACTTCCTTATTACGAAGAGCCTTCGTCTTCCTATCCAAGATGGCAACGGGCTTCTCGATGTAATTCAAGCTCTCATCCACCTGGATATCACCCAATGAGACAACCACAGCCTCATCTTTGACACACTTCCGAAGTTGCGACACATGGAACGTGTTGTGAATCTGGCTAAGCTCCTCTAGCAGATCCAAGCGATATGCCACCTTGCCCACCCGGGCCGTGATCCTGAACAGGCCTATATACTGAGTCCCCAGTTTGCCCCACTTCCGAAACCTGATGATCCCTTTCCAGGGCGAAACCTTCAGCAACACGAAATCCCCCGCCTGAAACTCAAGATCTGATCGTCGTCGGTCGGCATAGCTTTTCTGACCGCTCTGTGCGACCTGCAATCGGTCGCGCACCTGCTGAATCAATTTGGTCGTCTTGAGCACTACCTCAGTGCTCCCCATGACCCGGTGCCCAACCTCATCCCAACAAAGCGGGGTCCTACACATCCGACCATATAACATCTCAAACGGAGCCTGATCGATACTGGCATGATAACTGTTATTGTACAAAAATTCTGCCAGTGGGAGATACGTATCCCAACTCCCTCCACAATCCAACACGCATGCCCGCAACATATCCTCCAGTGCCTGGATCGTTCTCTAACTCTGACCGTCGGTCTGGGGGTGGTACGTCGTGCTAAAATGTAGCTGAGTGCCTAGCTCCTCGTGGAATTTCTTCCAAAACCTAGATGTGAACCGAACATCACGATCAGAGACTACCGACACAGGAACCCCATGTCTAGCCACTACCTCACGCACGTAAATATCTGCCAACTTCTCTGCGGATATACTTTCTGATATCAGAATAAAATGGGCGCTCTTCGTCAGTCTCTCCACAATCAGCCATATGACATCCACACCCCTCTCCGTCCTTGGAAACTTCGGAATGAAGTCCATCGTGATCTCCTCCCACTTCCACATGGGAATGAGTAGCGGATGGACCTTACCATGAGGCCGCTGATGCTCGGCCTTGACCTTCCTGCAAGTCAAGCAGCACTCTACAAACCAAGCGATTTCCCGCTTCATGCATGGCCACCAATAACTCAGCTTCAAGTCCCTATACATTTTTGTAGCTCCTGGATGTATAGAGAACTTGGACTTATGCGCTTCCTCTAATATCTTCTGTCTCACTCCCCCGGTCACCGGTACCCACACCCGGCCACACTGCGTCAAGAGGCCACGACTATCCTTAACAAACAGAGGATATTGTCCTCGGATCCTCTCTACCTTCCAATTCTCTTTCTTTACTCCCTCAACCTGAGCCTCTTTG